AAAAAAAAAAAAAAGGCTAACCAAATAAACAAAATGGCTAAAATAAATAAATACTCTTGGGTATAGGTACAAGGGCTAGACCAGGGGTCAGCAACCTTTAACACCCAAAGAGCCATTTGGACCCGGTTTCCACGCAAAAGAAAACACTGGGAGCTGCAAATACTTTTTCACATCTAAAATGAAGATAACACTGTATATATTGTTTTTTACTTTTATGCTTTGTGTGAACAACTAAAGTAAGTAAGTAATTTATTAAGCGCTTTTCACAGACAGGCAGTCACAAAGCGCTGTACACAAAGATTAAAATAAACAATACAATCAATAGACATTATACACAATTTAAAAGATCAAATGGAAATAATGTAAAGAATATAAAATACGTAGATCAACAAAAGGCTTGTTTGAACAGAAAAGTTTTCAACTGCTTTTTAAAAGAATCCACAGAGCAACTAAGGTTTGTTGCTTATGAAATCCATGAAGTGCTACAGAGAAAATTACATTTTATTTATGTAATTAATACATTTTGAACTCCTAAAGAAATATAACAAAAGGAAAGACACCCAGCTGAACTAAAATGATCCATGTAGCAAACAAAAACTGTTGTGAGCCGCCACCCTCATATCGCCTTTGGGCTTTTGGAGCCTTGACCTGACTTTTAAAAAATAATTGGGAAAAAAAGCACTATGCTGCTAAAAAAAATAAATAGATATTTGCAAAATTCTGCCTAAATATATATTTTACCTGGTTAATGTGTGTGGCGGGGCGTGGTCTGCAGCGCCGCTGCATGGGAGGCGGACGCACCTGAGCAGCACCCGAAGGTCCCGAACCTCTGCGCACAGCGTCTGCAAATCGGGCTGTACGAAGTCACTTTCATCTTTACGCAGGTCTGTAAGCTGTCGTCTGTGAGGCGTGAGCGGTGTTTGTTTTTAACATAGTTCACGGTGGAGAACAGCTGCTGACATAATGTGGATCCAAAGATCTATAATTGGCCTACCTGGGGTTGAAAGTCTTGATAAATGCACGGCATTTAGGCTTCTGTGAGTGTGACACGTATTTTGAGCGATGAAAAAATTATAAAATATAATTTTATTTTTATATTTCAATATCACAATAATCTTCCAATTTAGAAGTACAAGTTAAAAAAGAACTAATATAAATAAAATACACTTCAGCTAATTACTTCTAATTTATTTTCCCAAACCATGCAGAGCCGCAGTACAAGGACTGAGGAGCCGCATGCGGCTCCGGAGCCGGAGGTTGCCGACCCTTGGGCTAGACCAATGACTGTAGAAAGTCATGAAAAGCAGCCAGTATCCAAAGAAAACCATCAAAAAGCCTTCAGAAATCCTGTGCAACTATTGCACAGGAGCACTTTAGAAATTAAATTAAATTATTATTAAATTAAAATATCTTGGACATATGCATTATTTTTTTTAAAAACTTGTTTTAAAAAGTATATGAAGTATATAATTTCCCTCCTCAAAGATCTGACACGAGGTGTCTGCTTGTATCATTTATTTGAATTATAAATAAGGAATCCTCTGTCTTTAAGTGGCTGTAATGCATCAGATGTAATTACAGACATGCTTTCACACCAATGAGTGCTCATCAAATGTAATCAGACTAATAAGTGACTTTACAATTATATTGAATAACCAGCTCTGCCTGGAAAACCGCTTCATCGGACATTAAATTCATTATCCTTTATTGCATTTACTGTATATCTGAGATTATTCTTTCACTAAACTCTTATTCAAACTGGTGCCTGCTCTTTAAAGCAGGAAGAAACACGTCAGCGCTTTCCTAACTTGTGAGTGCTTCTGAGACACATAGAGAAAGTGATATCAGTCGAAACATAAAGACACAGGGAGAGGCGTGGAGAGCAAGCATTTAACAAGGCAATAGTCAATACAAGGATGGTGTATATAACAGTTGGAAGCCAATGAAGGTGGAAAGAACTGCAGGCTTCCTTGTTTGGTGAGCTGTAAGGAGATTACTTACCACCGGCCACAACATCTTATCCTCTAAATCCCTCTCTAACACCAGGCAGCCTGCAGCGAATACAGATTTTATGCTCCTTGTTGCCACCCGATCCAGGAACTTTTTCTATCTAGGATGCAGGATATAATCAGCACAATATAAAACAAGAAGTATAGACCCTGCCAAACTTTAATAAAAAATAAAAATACATAAATATATAACAAGGCTTTGGGGGGGCTTAAAAGATTACAAATCAAAACAATGTACTTGAGCCAAATCCAAAATAATGACAAGTAGCAAAATAACTATTAACTTAAGGCTCTTGCAATACAGAACTGAATGTAAAATTAACATGTTGCAATGCTAAAGATGAGGTAAACTGCAAGTGATTTATAAAGTTTTTAAGCAGTTTTTTTTCTTTTTTTTTTTTTAAAGTTTCACTTACAGAGAAGAAACTCCTCACACCTACTTCACATTAGATGCCATCTCACATAGTTTTGACTCCCTTTGAGTGAGAGCAGGATAAGAGATTACACTCAGGCTGGCAGGTGACCAATTTGAACATCTGAAGATTTGTTTTGATCATAGCGGCATGTTTTCCTTTTCTTAAACTACATTAATTAGTTCAGCCAACCCACAAGACTCACCGCTGCCGTCAGAGGCCTCTTTAGTTAAAATTCTCCATTAGCCACACACAAACGAATGTGTGTAGATCTATAGCAGCTCTCTGTCAGCAGTAAACAGATATTTATAGTATAAAAACTAGCAGCAGTATATTTTCTTGGGACACATTGGCCTCCTTAATACCAACAGAGCATTGTCTAAATGCCACAGCGGTGCTGCTGACCATGTCCGTTCCTTGTTTTCCTCTGCTGGTTGTTTCCAGCAGGATAAAAACACCAAAGCTCAAATAATTTCAAACTGGTTTCTTTAACATGACAGTTCACTGTACTCGAATGGCCTCAACAGTCATCAGATCTCAATCCAATAGAGCACTGTAGGGATGCGGTGTAACCAGAGATTTGCATCTTGTATGCCGAGTGAACAAATCTGCAGCAACAGCGTGATGCCATCGTGCCAAAATGGAATAAAGTCTCTGAGGAATGTTTCCAGCATCTTGTTGAATTTATGGCACAAAGCATTAAGGTAGTTCTGAAGGCAAAAAGGCAAGATGTACCTGATATATAACACTCCTAAGCCAGTAAAGACACCAAAGATTGATTTATTTTTGTCTAATCCAGTTTATTCTTCTTCAATAAAACAAAAAAGGGTGAAGAGGAGAAGCAAGCGGTAAAGCAAAAGAAAAATTATAGAATTTTACACAAGTGACCTTCTCACTTGATATCTTAACAACCAAAAGAAAATTCAGCTCTAAACTTCGATGTAAGTTTGAAATGCAAAATGTTGACAAGGTTAAATAAGTTTTTTATTTAGGATACCAAATATTCATTCATTACGCATTCTCTTTTCATTTTTTCTACACTCCATCTGGAAAACCTTTGGAAGGTAATTATTTACTGAATTTAACTTTCAGCACACTGACTCCAGCCCTATGCCCTCCATCTACAGCGCAACAAGAAATAGGGATAACGAATTAAACGAGAGAAAATAGAGCAATCAATACAGGGAAAGATGAGAAAACCAAAGAGAAGCACAGGAAGAGGAGAACGCATGTGATCTCATCATGCTAGCTAGAAATCGCAACTTATAGTAAGGGATATTAAAGTACTGGTAAAAAGGAATCAAATACGCCCATACAAAATCTTGCTTCAAAGCTGGGAACAAAGATAACTAAAAAACATGATGAGACCCAGACTGCCATCAGAAACTGCTCCTGCAGCTTCAGATCAAATTATGTATACAGCAACGTTAGATTTTACCTGTTTGTGCTCAATGTGAACAACAGCTGAGCGCATAAAATATCACCAGAGTCAAACTGTGTATGATAGCAAAAGTACAGTAATGTGTAACAATGCAGACATTCCAGGTCCAAGTCCAAATCATAAGAACGCTTTATCCCTCACATCCTGTAAATTTTGTCGTGCTGAAGTTTGTACACATCCTGAAAAAGATTATGGATGTGAAGAGGAAATGTCTTTATGTGGAAGGTTTGCACATAATAAAGAGATAAGAGAGACAAAAAGAGGAAGACAAAATCTTCAAGTCTTCCTCAGTCACATCCTGACACTGAAGACAGGTCTCAGTTATTCAAGGACAAACGGTTTACGGTTCCCACCACCACTGTGTGTGTCTGAGTCCAAGACAGCCTGCAAGTTCTGAATATATGGACTTAGACTTCCACCAACAGTTTTATCATCCACAGTGGCAGAAACAGCCTCACAGAATCCTAAATGAATGGAGAAAATTGTGTTGTGTAGAGTAGGAGAGAAGGATGGAAGTTGATGGGAGGAGGGAAGACTGAGCTTCAGTATCCTGAGGTGGATGATTTTAACAGGTGTTTGTGTTTCTAGAGGTTAAGGGTTATGGGTGATCGATGGCCAGGGGGGGTAAGACACTGAATTAAACTGAGGCTCGCTTGCTCGTTTGTTTCACAAAGTCCGTGCTTGGCGCAGAGTACAAAGCAGCTCTGGTCTGATTTTGAGGTAAAGAGCACAGTCTATAAACAGCGCCAAAGCCAAGGAGTACATGAAAGATAACCTTTTCTTTCTCCTCCTCCTCCTCAGTTTCTTCCTTTCCTTTTCTGAGGTAAAGAGTAAAGTCTGGCTTCCAAGAAATACACTTGTATAAAGCATTGCATTTCTTGTCTTATTCATGTCATCTTACTTGATTCATTTTTATGAAGTCGAGAGTTTGCAACAAAAGGGAACAAACTGTATATTTCCTTTGCTCTTTATTGTTTTGTCTTTCCTTGGTTTGGTTTTTTCCAAAAGGCAGCAGGGATATAATCAAGCCAACAAAAGCAGAAAACAACCAAGATAGGCGATAGTGGAATTCAAAAAGAGCAAGCATAGTTTTAAGAGAAAAAAGGTGGAGGTTTGTATCTCCACTCTCACAAAAAAAAAAAAAAAAAAAGCAAAAATCTCGAGGAAAAAAAAAGACAAGAAAATAATATCCCTGTTAAAGATTCTTCTGAGGGAACGACTATTCAAGAGCACTCTTCCCCGATGCGCTGGCATGAGCGGCCCACCTTGCGGTCTAGCTTAACCATTTTGAGGACGGCGTCCTGACGTCCACGACCCATGTGGTCAAACAGACACTCGTGCTGCTCTGGAAGCCGATGGAGCATACAGAAGACATAACCTAAAGGACGGGTTTGGGGTTGTGGATAAAAGAGACAAGGAGGGATTAATTTGTTGCCTTAAGTAAATGCACAAATATTGCAGTTGTAACTGTACACACCGCAGTTAATACATGAACTAAAGAAAAAAAGATATGGCTACATAAAGCACACCTAAAACAATTTAACTAGAAATAAGAGTTTAACTAGTCAAAAGAGTAGCATTACTTTTAGATGCCAGTAAAGGTCGATAAACATTTAGTCTTTAGATATACTTTTTAAATGGTCAAGGGCAGATAACATGTAGTACTTGCCACAGTGCCCGTGTGTCAAAGAAGACATTCTACTTGATCGCTTCCTCTTTCAATGCTTTTCCGTTTTTCAGTAGATAGCGTTTCCTCCCTCTAACTACTGTAGCACTTTCAACAAAAAGCCCTGCCAATGGTGGAGGCTCGTTAAGCTCAGGGAAGCTCGTTAGCTTTCATCATCTTAAATTCATTCATTAATACACATAATAACGCTACTGGCATTTAATAAGTAGTGATTAAAGGCCCAGTTTAACATCTGGTTTCTAGGCAATTAAAACCTATACAATTACAGCACACGCGAGTGGATTAGAAGGGAGGAAAGTTGTGTCACGTTGGACAGAATATTCCCCCTATTAGAAACCACAAATCAAAAATGTTGTCCTCTGCTCACTGCTGGTATTTTCTAACAAAATGGTGAACTGAGTTCTTCTGTAAAATTAATGAACTGGGAAGAGACGTTGTGACTTGAGAATGTATTTTGTGATGCAAAAAACAATCTGTGAGTATACTGTAAGTTTCAAAGATTTTACAGCTAAAATCCAACATGTCTAAAATATTTATTTTACGTAGAGGCAAAAATGAATAAAGGATGAGGAAGAGCTGATGTGTGCACACACGCTGTAAAGGAAACCCTTAAACATATCCAGTTATATGCCTGGAAAATGTCAGACTGCAAGTATAATACCAAGCTTGTGTGTCTGGACCTGTCAATCCCTACTTCTGTACACCAAAAACAGACCTGGCTGCACTGCCTCTTTACCAAGGCCCAAACTGTCTCTTGCACCTGCAGCATACCACCCTTGGTTAGAAACATAGCAGATGAAGACCTTCACCTCTGGGGTTCTTCTCTGGATAACATCTATGCCTTGGTCTTGGGTGCTTCCTCCTAATCTAACCTCTAAATCTAATTGCCAGTGAGTGAGTCACCAGTTATTGTATGGCAGACATTAATTAATAGGCTAATTATTTACAAAGTGTTTTTTCATTGTCCCCGTTGCTTTACAACATGCAGCCGGCTAGCAAGGTCAAACAAACTGCAGCCACTGTGTGATTAAACCGTGTTGTATGCCCAGATTAATAATTACTTAAACCAAAGCTTACTGTCATGTTTTGAAGTAAGGTCAGAAGGCCTACAAGAAATCAAGTTTTAAGGTTGTAGTACTCCCTGTTCTCATCGTCTGTTGATTGTCTTTCTGACTTTAGAAGAATTTTACATTTTAGCCACACATATAATTAAGAGAGATTTCACATTTTCCCCATTATGGGAAAAATCACAGAAGTAATGTTTAGAAATTAGCAGGACCACTGTTATTAGGTTAAAAGGAAATGCTTTGGTTCCTTCATCTGTTAGGTCTCCACATTAAAAGATATGATATAATTAGCTGTTCAATTCCAGTGCCTCCACTCTGTGTTATATTAGTACCTAGTACGATAAATAGCAACTGTGTAAAAGCAGAAAACTACTGAGACTAACAGCATTGGATCAGATTCACTACTTGAGCTATTTTTTCACCCCAATACAATCTGAAAAGCATTCATCCTTTCAGCTCATTATCAGACCTTCTTGGCTTACACTGTGGAACATTCTGCAGAACCATTAGCAAAGTAATCTGCAATTACTGCAACAGTCAGAAATCACTATAATTGCCACCATTTTCCCTTTCAATCTGTAAAAAGCATGTTTTCATAGTAAGCACTGGACTATTAAGGATGGATAGGCCGTGTATTAAGCAGCACCTGGTGGAAAAAAAAGGCAAGTCAATTTCCAATTTAGAAATTATTGCATTGGTTTAAGCAGATTGGTCTTTAAGTAGTGAAGAGCTCTGACTTTTCAAGTACTTTAATTTGTATGCAAACAAGTTGATTAGCAAGCCAAGTATTGGTTTGAACTACATTAGTGTTTGTGGTAATTGGCTTATGTTTTATGTGCAATGTGAAACATTGAGGCTTTCCTGTAATGGTCCCTCAAGGCTTGCAAAAGCAGTGATATATATATATTTTTTTCAACACACAAAGAAATGTCCAGGTAACGGTGCTGTGCTGGACACATAATTCACAAAACTATTATTAAGCTAACCGAAGTGTACTTATGTATGTATCTGTATATTAACATAAGGTAATAACATGGTCTAAGGTGATATCTTTATGAAGTTAACAGTATTATGCATGTACTTAATGATAATGCTCCTTTGCGTAAGTGTTCATGTGATGCGTATGTTAATACTGTACATATGAAAATGTGTCATCATACCACAGCGACAGGAACCCAGCTCTTGCTGTACCAGCTCCAGTTTGGTTTGGCAGCGATGGCAACGCTTACGGCTCCGCTGTTTAGAGCCACTGCGAGACGAGGATGAAGACGATGATGATGATGAAGACTCCTCACCCTCTGGGATCCCACCTACTCTCGCTCGCTTCTCAGGTGAAACATCACTTTCTGAATCTGAGGCTTAGAAGAGAGAGAAAAATAAGTTAAAAAACAAAAAAAAACAACAACATTTGGCTACAACTGTTTTGCTTAATTGTTGTTTTTTGTTGTTGTTTTTAGATCAGGCATTGCCAGTTAGAGCCCTGCAACAAAGGAGCTGAACTTAAACTCAGCTTTTCATTTTTCTTTCAAACCCACTTTCACATTTTCATTCTTAATTTATTTGTTTATTTTACTTGTTACTAAGACTGTTGTTGTTGCTTTAGTATGTATTTTGTAGCCATGTTTTAAATGGTACTAAACAAATAAAATTTATACATCTAAGAAAAATAGTTCCTAGAGATTCTCTTAATGCAATGAAACACTGAAAGTCTGGAGCTACATTAAGATGACTTTCAGCAAAATGACTAGCAATATTGTAATAGCTTAAGAGTATTTTGTATCTTTTTTCTGCTTCTATTGAGTTAAATCAGACTAGACTGTGATTACATTACATGTAAAAATTCATTCAATGAAAATTAATCT